TTCACAAAGTATGTTGGCATAATATTTAGTGTAAAGCTGCAAAAATGCAGATGGTTAAAATGTTACACTTAACAGCACCATAATGGAGTGCAATAGATTGCACAAATAGCAAACCTGGGCCTGCATGAGAGGAACAGAAAGCTCAGGAGAACTGAGTGGCCTCAGGGAGGAGTGATCATACAGCGAGGTTGTGGAGTAGAGCTGCTTGCGGTGAACACCCACAGAGCCTTAATTTAATGTCATGGCTGTGGTGTTATATATATGCTGCTACACTACAGTCCTTTCTTTGGCATTCAGCTGATGTGACATCTGCCCTTCCATTTCCAGGCTTTGGTCATGCCAACATGAGAAAAAGGCGCATGAGTGGCCTGACTGGTACCATGGTCATGAAGTGCCAGCATTGGCTAGTGAGGAATTGCCAGGTTACAGAATCAACTGTGTCTGAGGAAGATGTATTAGAAACAGTTTGCATTTGCTTTGTGGGAATTGTTGTGTTTTCTGTATACTTTTTGACTTTTATCACAGCAGTGGTACTTTGGGAACACCTCTGAGCTCTTCATGCCTTTAGCTTCACGATACCTCCAGAAGGTTAAAGCAGCTCCATTTTAAGGGGGGTGAATATGGAGCACATGGAGGCTAAATAAACTTCTACAAAATATTTTTGCAACCTCAGCTACCTTTGATCATCTGAATCTTTTCTGTCTCTTTCTTATTTGGGTTCTGTGTTTCCTGAGAGAGACTGTGACCTTGAGAGGGGAAATATCTTTCTCAGATGCAGCCTTTAATGGGATAATCAGTAAACTTGCTTGTTTAAGGATGTGTATCATGGCAGGTGGTAGTTACCTTCCTTGATTTATGTGTTTTGGACTAGAACTTGATTTCGGGAGGTAGATACAGATTTTTCCACAACTGAATAGTGGGCAAGTGGATTAGTTATTAATTTTTACTTGCATTTTTATTTTTTCACAGAAATGTAAATGAGAGAAAAGGGGATTCCCTGGCTTTGCTACTACTTGTCAAGAGCTGACCTGCAAAACTTTACACGTGGAAGTACTACGTATGCCCTTTAAAGTACCCTCTGGACCTTAATGTGGAGGGAAATGTAGTAGTGCATTTTGCTTTCTCCAATTCCTTTAAAAATGTACATATTTTACAGAATCGCTATGCTTAGTTAAAACTTACTCGCTAGACTAAGTGATCATCTCGTATAAAAACTGAAGATACAGTTGATGTTTTTCCTTAAACAGGGAAAGGAAAACATTACGGGAAAAAACATGTTGCAGAACTAGAAGATAAAAAGCATTATGTGGCATAAGTAGTACAGTGTGTATACTAACATTTTGATGGCAGAAGTTGTGTGCTACATGTTTTTCTTAGAAGCCCTTGCTTTTAAGCTGACATGTAGAATCAAATAAAAAATAATATGAAGCATACTCAGCTTTGTTGCAGCAAAGGCTTGGTTTATGGACTATATATATATATATTATACCTATATAGTAATGATACAGGCAATTTGCTGTGTTTCTTTTCTAGCAGCTGTTCTTAGAAGATATAAAATGGTACATAAAACGTGAAGATAGATACATTTCTATTTCTCTCTCCCTCTGTTTTGCGTATTTTTTCCTTAAAATCTGTGTTTATAGAATATTACAAAGCATAATCTTTTAATCAGCTCTTGCTTATAGCAAGATACAACTTCTTTGTAGCACAGGGGAATAATAGAAGTTGCAAAAATTTCTGGAAATTCAAAGTAATTATATATACTTTGTTTCCATGGAGTGGGCCATAGCTAGTAGAATACCACCTTGAGTTCCATGTGGTTTAGGAGCAAGGGATATGCACCTCTGGGTTCAACATAGGTATTGGTGACAAAATGTAAGTACTCGGAAAGTACTGAAAAAAATGTGGATTTTCTTCCATTAATGGAAAGTCGTAGAACTGCTTCTACTAAAATCTAAAGGAAGAGGAGGTGGTTTGGGAGTGTCTGCAAAGTTTCCACAGGGAAATGGAGCCTGAAGGCTGAGGTACAGAGGAAGAGAATTTCTGATTTTTGTTTGCATGTAACAAAAATCAGCCTGTCTGCTCTGCTGTCTGTGTCAGTCTCTTGCTGAGTGCTTTTTATCCAGTTTCCTGAAGTCAAGGATGGAATCTGGATTAAGAGCCTATGTGCTGAAATGCATCAAAATAGTATTACTATTTGCCTTATTTCCTAACTATCTGTAAAGTCTGCTTCTTGTTTTGACTTGCTGTCCTTCAGTGCTAACAGGAATGTGACTAAGCAGCACTGCCATTTATTAGTTGTTCCCATATAATTGAGATCCAGTTGGAAGGGAAATAAAAGGCATTCTCTTTATATTTGGAGAGTGCTGTGCAGCTTTGGAGGAATTTTTTTCAGTTTGTTGCACTGAGCTCTGTCCCTAAGGGAAGCTGCCATTCTCTGATGCTATCTGCTAAATGTAAAATTCTAGAAGTCAATGATTTCAAAACGTTTTTAATCAGACTTTTTTCCATCAGACTTTCTGAATCTTGCAAAGTGAGCTACTGGAGCCCAAAATTGGACAAAAAGGCTAGAGGAGTTTAGTGTATTAAGTCAAGCTTGACACAAATTTGATTTCTCTGTATGTATTTTTAGGGCTAGGGAATTCTCAGGTCTTTCCTTAAACTAACAAGGACTAATATAAGTTAGAGCAACTTTGTATCTTGCAAGCAGGCAGCCTTGGCTTATAAAGCACATTTACATTTATGCTTTTATAGTTACGTTCCTAAAAAAAGTTTGAATTGTACTTGTTAGATCATGTGGCACTTTAATTTTTTTTCCAAACCAGGGAGACATACTACAGCTGCATCCATATAAACATTGGATAACTCAGCAAAATGCTACTTGGATTTTTATATAAGCTTTTCTTGCTACTTGTGGGAAAAGGTGACTGAAATGTTTCGGATGAAGCTTCTCCAAGTATCAGACTCCATAAAATTATCTATCAGATTTCCTTTTTGTCCTGATGTAATTTATGAAAATCCATAATCGAAACAGAAGCACTTTTTGTTGAGCCAGCAAGTTGAACAGCAAATGAATGGATTTACTTAGAGGTGATTACAATTGAACAGAAAGGAATCTCACAAGTTTCCTACATAACATGTGAGAAAAAATAAATAAATTACAAGGTGTGGAGCAACAAAATTTTGAAGTACATGAAGAAGCAGTTTAGGAAGCTGTATGAGGTCAAGTATAGGATATATTGCAGAAGATCATTGGCTGTGAGCTCTGATGGTCTGTTTGCTGCCTGGTCCTACTTGCATGAGTAAGGAGTAAGGAGCACTGCCTCTGAGTTTGGCTTGTGGCATTGGACCTTGAATAAATAAAATACAGGACTGTCCTGAGGAAACATCCTGTGCAGTAGCTGAAGGAATTGTCCAAGTTTGGGTGGAGTGCTGATGTCAGAGAGGAATGTGCCCTATGGTTGTGGGGTGAAAGGCAGATTCAGGGAACTGATTTGTAAGTGTTTCTGTTGGCTTCGTGCTCAGACATTCTTCCTCCTCCTTGCACCAGTTCCCAGCTGTACTTCTGCCAGTCTTACCAACTTTAGGAATGTTCCTGTGGGCTCTCTTTGCTGCTCCCATAGGTGTCCGTACAAAAATGCTTGATCAAATGCTTAATCAAGCAAGTACAGTCTCCTTTTATGCTTTCACTCTGTTCCACCTAAGTTTTTACTCAGCTGTGGTGACCTGCAAGCTATAGGTGGGGTGTAGGAATACAGAGAAGCATTAAAAAAGTAGTAAAATAGGTTTGGTGGAATATTTAATAATTTCTGTCTTAATTAATTTTTTTTTTTTTTTTTAATGATGTGTTTTTGTGAAAATATCACCCTCTGCACTCAGGCAGACTGACCCTACCTCTCATCACCCAATAAATAAGTTTACTTGTAGCATCAGTTGTAAAATATTCTGTTCCTTAGTTAAATAACTGTATCACTTTAAAGGCTTTGGAAATGAAAGCCTTGGGCTTTCATTGTTCTACCAAAAAAGTCTTCATGTGCTTTTAACATTAATAACAGAGAGAGATAATTTACTATCTTCTGGCAGATTCCTGGCTTTGCGGGGTCAGGCGTTCTCCACACAGGAACTCAGGTTACTAAGGCTCAGTGGCAGAGGCCTGTGCAGGAGGGCTCTGCAGGGCAGGAGCCCCAGCAACAGATTGGTCACTGGGGCTGCTGTGTCAAAGGCCAGGCTGGAGCTCTGTAGAGCTGGGTTGCCAGACACAACTTACTGGGCTGATGTAGCCCTTGGGTATCCTCTGCCAGCAGCAGTCCTGCTGAGCTGTGCTGGAAGACTAAAGCCTCCACCCATGTGAAACTGTTTGCTGTAGCAGTGGTGTTTCTGGTGGTCTGTCCATGTGCAGTATCACCTCAGGGAAATGAAATCCTCTGTGTCTCCTTTGGCAAGAGGAGCTGTATTGGTAACCATTGTCACCATGGCTTAAATTTTCCTATAAACCTCTAAACCCTCTGGTGTCAGTAACTTGTGTTCTGTTGCAGCTTAAAATGTATGGAGCTTCTTGATGAAATCAAGGTGCTATATATCCTCATGCAGATTTTTATTTGGAAAATGTGAAAAAGTAAAGACCCTTCATAAAATGTTCTGATCTACCAGTGGCCTCTGTCCCCCCCCCAAATCCGTTACTGGAATGGTCTTGGCATGATTTGTTAGCTCAGATTCTGCAGAAGTTTTTATTCCTTACTCAAACCAGGATATTGGAGGCTATTCTGTAGCTGGTTGCCATCCTCTGCTCAAGGTTCAGCACACACAGGCACATGTATCTCCTGTGTTTTGAGGGTTTTTAGGGTGATAAATGTTACATGACTGAAAGTATTTTCTTTGCAACTGGGATGCATCGATGCTGTGAAGGTGTGATTGGAGATAATGTTGAAACAATTTCACTCATACACATGCTGTCTTGGTGTATTTTTTTGATGGATAATTTAAAAATGTTCCATTTTCAGGTGACAATGGCCAGAATCGGGATAAATGAGAATCGTTCAAAGGAGACCTGTGAAACAATACTTTTTGCTCTCCGAATGGCAACATGGAATCAGATTTTAGATCCCTGGGTGTACATTCTTCTCCGGAAAGCTGTACTTAGAAACCTGTACAGGATCACAAGGGGATGTTGTGGCTCACACATCATAAACTTGCACATGTTGGAACTCAGCTCCATCAAGAATTCTTTGAAGGTTGCAGCAATATCTGAGTCACCAGTAAGTTCCAAACAAATAAACCTACAGCCGCTCAGCTCTACAGGGCACTAAAGTTACCATGGTGTATGAAGAGGTGATGGAGACAATGCTCATTTGTGGGCAATACCTTAAAGTGAATTCCAAGGCTCAGTGGTTTAGCATTTGTTTCAAATTGTGAGTGGTTTGCTCTTGTTGCTTACTGGTTTGATATTGCTACTCGAAACAATGCACTTGAATGTTTTAATTCCCTTTAGAATGCATCCTTTCCAAAACTGGTAGTAGGATGATAAATTATCCTGCATTTTTCCTTGCAGGTACTAAAGTGAACAGGGTTCTGTATAATTGTTCCCACCAAATTCTGAGCAGGCACAGCAGGCATCTTAAGAACACGTGCAAGTGCAAAAGTGATCTCCAAGGTGATTTTTAAAAGGGGTAGATTTATCTCCCAGTGATACTCCCAAATCCTTTGCAGAGTCGCTGTTTCCTAGGGTAAAGTCCACCATCCTTTCCATAAGGGTATTCTTTACTTCTATGCATTGCATTTTCCAACAGGATGCATAAAAGACATTTTGTTTGTGCCTGGCTTATTAAATGATCCAGTTTGCTTGGTTCATTGATTTGACCTCTCAATTATTTATTGTTCCATGAAGTTTTGGGAGAGCTGCAAACTTTATCAGTGTAAGTGTTCCTTTTCTGTGGGAACAGAGAAGTGGGTCGGCTTGCTTCCTTACAGTTACATTTTTAGATTTATCTGTCAGTTTTTAGTACTTTCAACAAATGTTGTTGAAATTAACAGACATAAAGCTGTGGTTAGTCTGTAAAAAAAGTAGTTCCCTTGCAAAATGCATATATTGAATGGCTCATGAGGTACCTCTTTTGTAAAAGGTCATGTTGTGTGTGGCCAAAGGAGCACCTCAGCAGGGAGCTACCCAGGGACCCTGGTTGTGTTTGTGAAAGCAAACTTCATGGTCAGTTCATGCAGTGTCTGTGTTAGAAGAGCTAAAAACATTCAGTAAAATTGAAAGTACCAGAAAGTTTGCAGGACATTACAGAGGAGGCCCTTTGCCTTTAATGCTGCTAAATGAAGCTTTGGGTTTTGTGAATGTATTCTGTTCAAAAGCAAAAATGAGAGTATCAGACACTTTGTAGCAGAGGAACTTCAAATAACTACATCAGGGTATTTGGACAAAGTAGTTAAGAACTGATTCACAGAGAAGACAGTCTGAGGGACCAAAACTCTTCACAAACTAGATTTATGTTGTATGTCAGAGGAGTTTAAAGTCAGAAAATAAAAAAACCAAAAGGTTTAAATATTTCAGTTTTTTGTTTTAAAATCTATTTCCTTTTTGTTTTAAAAAGGTTGATAAATAAATGGGTTAAATAACCCTATAATGAAATGAAATGACTTTGTTTACCCTAAAGAATTTCTGTATGTGATTTCTTTAGTCACAGAGCTGATAAACTGTGGACAGATTTGATTCTGATATAAGCTCTGCAGTGTTGCTTCACATAGGTTCTGCTAAAATCTGGCAGCATCCTGTCTGTGCTCAGTTTGGCTTTTTTGTTTCTTAGAATGTGATGCCAATATATCTGTTGACATAAATTATTTGTTCTTTATGAAAGATAGTTGTTTTAGCAGCTGCAAAAAGTGTTGGTCCATAAATTGTTGAGATATTTGGTCAGTAAATGAAGCTCATCACTGTTCCATTTTGTTATGTGAATAAATGTAGCTTGTGTAGTTCATACTGGTTGTAAAACAAGCAAACAAAAGCCTATATGTATATGTGATTTCTTATATTTTGTGTACTAATACGTGTTGAATGTAAATTGCAGAGCCTCATTAAAAGTTGTCAAACTGTATCTTGAGAGTTATGGTATTTCTGTGTAACAAAAGGAATCTGAAGTTGCTGAAAAAATCCTTATGACAAAAAAACCTTACTGTGGGTTGAAGCAGGCCTCTGCCCTTCACGTGTGTGATGGCAGTTGTGAAGGTAGAGAGGAGAACTGTGAGAATTCAGATAGGAGGTGCCAGTGTTTCACTGTCACATGAGCAGCCCAGTGCAGCTGGTTGTGTAAGACGGGCAAGATCAAGTTCATATGATCCATGTTTAGAAAATGCAAATAAAAGTGGAGCTGGGGGAGTTCTATGTATGAATTTAAAGTGTTTTTATTCACATATCTGCCAACATGTTACACTAACTGGGATTAGTTTCACTTACACTATGAATCCTGAAAAAAAGTGTGAGTTTTGCCGTTGGTATCTTGTTTTGTTCAGTGGTGTGACAGCCTGCAGGGGCACCTCAGGACACAGCCACCAAGGATCTGATTTGATTATTATTGCATTTCATCTCACAGAAAAGCCAGTGATGTGCTGTGCTGTATGATTAGCAAATTATCTGTTTTATGGAAGATGAGATTGTAGAAAAATCAATAGAACAGCTTCACACTAGGATCAAAGTATTGCCAGGCAGGGAGAAAAGGGCAGTCTGCTTAGTACTGTGCTGATGACTTCTTCAGAGGTTGGCTAACGATGTGAGCAGTCATGAGCTGCCTGTTTACTGCTAGGCAATAATTAGTGTCTCTGGAGCAGGCAGAGGCAGTAAGTGTTCTGGTGGGAAGAAAGTGAATCTCATTTCTGACTAATGACTGAGGAAGTCCTCAGGGTGGGAGAATATTTTAATCTAATTGGGATCTTAAGCCATGGCAGGCTGTATAAGGAAGCACGTTACCCGAAACCAAGGTCCTAGCCTGGGCTGAATCAACCTGCTGAAGCGAAGAAAGCAGCAGTAACAAGTTGTTCATCATGGGGATTAGGCAAATGTCTGGGGTTTGTTACCTAGATACAAGGATGGAAAGCAAGGTTCAAGGTCTTTTTCATCTGGTTCTTGAGGCAGTGTTTGTCTTGTGTGTTTGTATGTAAGATATTTGTATATGCGTTTTTATTACTTTAGTCTGATGTATTAGGAATTATTTCAGGAACAGCAGAATGTGCCAGTTCTGTAGCCATGGTGATCCTTTAGGACAAAGCGTTCGGACCTTTGAGACGTGCCTCACCTGCTGATATGCTCCTCCAGGATGTTACTGGTAACACAGCACACCTCAAATTAGCTGCATAGATTGTTATGAAGTTTAATTCTCAACACTTGGGTCCTGGGAGAAGTGCTTGAATCTCAAGGGAATTTATAAGAACTATTGTGACTTTTGTTGCTTCCTAAAAAAACCCAGATGCTTTTCACTTTAAACTTCTGTCATCTGCCAGCATTAAAAATGGCAAAACTGTCCTTTGATTTCAGTAAACAATGATTTTCAGTTCAGCCCTGCTGCATTACATTGAGGAAAGTATTAACTCCTTGAACAGACAATGT